TGTAGTGAGATAGTTGCATACTAAATAGCAGGAAAAACAGATGGTTTCGTTGTTTGAATAAAGAGAAAGCAATAGCTTTGTTACCAGAAGCTGGCTGAGGGATAGTTTTATCTGGATTCTAGTCTATTAGTTTATCACTGTGACTGACTGATTATGATTCATTTTTCCAAACATAAATCATTTCATAAATCCTGTTGGAGAGCGCAGCAGTAGAACTGAAGATGTCATGGAGCTCAGTCGGTTAAGGCACTGATGAAGTTACAAATGTGTCTGCACAAAGTGGATGCCCATTTTTGCATGTGTTGAAGACGTGAAGTGCTCTCACATTTAAAATGCTTTAATCAAGGATTCCTTTTCTTGCATATAACTAGAGTGCTGTTTTTAAACTATTTGAGTGATTTAATTGAACTCTTCCTAGCATACAGTAGAAGCCAGCTTTTGTCTATAGAAGCCTTTGGTGTGTATGAAATGAGGTGTTTAATTTACTCAATTATTATAAGATCTGTTTTTCCAAGTTACTGCTTTAAATAATTTTTTCGGTACTTGCTTTTGTAAACCATATCTCCTATACAAGGTCATGTGTCACTTTGTCTTCACCCACATATGCTTCCCTGAATATTTCTTCCTTTTTTCTAAGGCTGGAAGGCCTTTATTGATAATAACCCAGTTAACTGACCAGCAAAACCAATTCCTGCTTCCGTTCTGCAGGAAAGAACATCTTGTAACTTTGAACATACACCTGTGGGTAAGAAACAACATGCACAGCAAAGACTGTAATAATAAAGTGGGACACTGAATGGATAATGTTAAAGACTGAAATGCTGATGTTTTGAAATGCTTTCAGCATTTCTGGAAACAAATCCAATAATTTAATCTGGAGGCAGATAGTCAAAGCATATTGATTATTTTTCCATTATTTCCTCTCAGTTCACATTCCAGAATATCTTGGAGCTATCACAGTACAATAGCAGTCAAAACGTACTTACTTCCTTAAGAGAAGATAACGTTTTGCCCTCCTGAAAGAGGTACATAAAGCCCCCCAAAAGCCCCACCTACCTCTGGTGTCATGGGAAACACTGAATATCATACTGTGAAGATGTCTAGGCTTATCTGCCATTCCTAATCTAAAAATTGCAATAAGATTCACTGATTTTTTCAGTAGAGTGAGAATCTGACCCATGGGAGTTAATGGTTTGCCAGCCCAGTTGTTCAAAACTCAGTATTTTAGGTCTATAAAGGCTAAACAATTTGGTTTAATTTCCTCATATCAGACACACTTACCAGGCACTATATATGGAATAAGAAGTTAACATCCAAATGTTGCCTTTATGTAATGAAGAGCAGTGAAGTTAGAGAAAAAAAAAAAAAGAACAACAAGCCAACTGGTGAACTTAAAAGAAAACTTGTCTTTTTTAAAAAACTGATGTCAGTCTCATTACTCTGATTTCAAATGCCTTTGTGTTTGTGAAAGAGAATACCACAATACTTTACAGTACAATTACAGGTGATGTTATTAAGAGTCACTTAGTGAGGTTTAATGGAACAGTACCTTTCTCTTAGCTTTGAGCTGCTCATGATATTTGTCCGATGTGTCACCTGGTATTTCTCCTCCCCAGAGGGTAATTCCCACTACAGAATAAGTGATGCCCATGACAAGCAGTGGAAAACAGTAGACCAGCACAATCACAATGACATGATACCTGCAATGAAAAAGCATTAGGCTGGTAAATGCTTGCAGAGGTGATGGAATGGGCTGCTGGAAGGAGAGTGCTATTGTTACGAGAAGCGTGCTTTATATTGATGAGGCAGCCCTTGGTGCATTCACTGTCTTTTTCAAGTATCTTGCATATTTATTTCCATTCTAGTGCAAGTGCCTTTAGGATCTTTAGCTGTGATTCTGAACTTGTTCTAGTAAAATCAAGAATGACTCTACAGTAATACTGATTAATGACTTCAGAATGAGGTATCTTTGTCCATAACTAGCTGAATTGATTTATTTATTGCATGGTCAAGTGTCCTAAGAGCAAGCGAAGGTTTTTGAGTTCTAATCCGCACCAGAAATGAAAGTAGAAATGCAGTATTTAAATACTGTCTTTATACAAAGGCATCCTTTGTATTTGTACTTCATATGGCCCCTCTGTTGCCTATGAGAAACATAGTCATCTCTGACAATGTGAGCGCTGGGGAAAAAAAAGATAACTTATTTTGCCTCCTGCTAGATCCTTGTTAAATGTCATTGTCACATAAAATCCCACTGAATGATCAGTAAAGAATTTCCAGCTGTCACTGAGAGTGAACTTACTGCCCTGAAGATAAAATACCTGTGGGTGGCCCCTACAGTGATCAAAATCATATATGATCAGAGCCGTTTTCACCTGCCTGAAGGAAGGCAAAAGGTCAAATTTGATGCTGTATGGCTATGCAGGTTTTCAGCCTTGGACAGAGAGTTCATCTTAAATACCAATGAGGATCTGAACAGGGACATAATGTTTATATGCCTAGGTAACCACTTATTCCTAATTCTGCCAGAGGGACAAACAAGATACATCCAGTTTAATTGGCTGTTGCTTCACACTTTCAGAATGTGGAAGGAATTACAGATTTTACAGTTTTCTTATTCCAGCTCAGACCTGAGATACGTACTTGTGACAGCGTAACAGGATGAAGTGCAGAAATCTGATCCTTTTTGAATAGAACCAGAGAAGAAAAATCTGATTGTGACAAGGAGAGGCTGGAAATACCGTTTTACTCATTAAGATAAACGATAAGCTTAGTTTGAATTGTATATTCTGTTCCCATTTCTGACCAACTTTGTTATATAGAAGTAGCCATCTTAAGTGAAGCAGTGATAGTAAACATTGCAGCATGGAATGAAAAACACTCGAGGAAGAGAATATTTTCTTCCAGTTGTCATTTAAATGAACTATCTTCCAAGCTTAGCAATTCTGCTTTGACTTTCTCAGTGCTGTTATACAAAATAACTACTAGTAGTATCCATTTCAAGTATAGGCATCACCATGCAGAAGTTTAAAAGAAAAATGCTTACATAAAATGCTGTTTTGGACCGCCTGGCCATGCTACATAGCACAGAGTTCTCCCAGGCATCACCTTGGTTATAGAGTAGAGGCACTGGGGAAAGGCCAACAGGAAAGCCAAAATCCATATGCTCCCAATGACCACCTTGGTAGCAGTTGCAGAGAGCCTTGGTTTCAAGGGATCAATAATGGCCATGTATCTGTAAAAGAAAGCAAAAACCTGTACATAAGAAATCTTCAGAGATTTGCACACATCTAGAATCATCCGCAGGTTGGGTCTGAGAGGATAAAAACAGAAATATTTGTCTTTCTGGAGTTCTGATGGCACAATCTGATTGAAGAGCAACAAGGCATCTGGAACCTTTATTACTCTGCTACATAATACAGGATATATCTCTAATTAACAGTTAAGCTCTAAGGATTATTAGAATTCTGTCCAGTAGCTACATGAACCCGATAAATTACCATGCCTTTTGTTCAATAGGCATTAACTGACTTCAGATCATTGGTCAAAGATCCTGCAGCTGCAACCATTTCAGGAAGGAATCGTACAGGCTTTGCCTCAGTTAATGGAGAAATATGTGCATAAAGCATGAAAACATCTCTTTTGCTTTCTCAGTTCCTGTTTCTTGGGAAGGGGTAGCATTCTTCTTATTGCCCTGTAATTGTATTGGCAATCCGTGTATACTGATCATTTTAGAACAATTTGCATAAAATAATTGAAAAGATTACTCTAAGTAATTACAATTTAAAGGCTTAGAAAAGAGAGCAACAGGAAAGCATCAAGACAAACAGTAAGAGAAAAACACATCTTGTTTTCTGCCTTTTGATATCCGAAAACATGCAAGGAACTAGGGAGACCCAGAAAGCCCGTTTTACTCATTCCATGTCACAAACTTCACACTTTTTACATTTTCTTATCATGCCACTGCTTTGATTCTGAGACTAACTCCCAAATCAATGTCTTTTCCACCAATTTCCCCGTCTCTCTATTTTGTTTCACTTATCAATGACCAAGTAAAGACCTTCAAAATCCTTAACAATTTTGGTAAATAGGAAGACTGTTTCTAGTTGCTTCCACTATTGGAATGCTCTTAAGTAACAATCAGAATCACTTTTAAAGGAATTTTTGTCCTGTAAATCCATTGAAATAGTATTTCTTTTTACACATATGCTGATGAAGCTTACTGGATAGCTAACTACATGCTCTTTGATATGACATCCTAATGCTTTCCAATACAGAAAGAAATGTTTTTTACAGTAATGTTTTGTTCCAGATGCAACCAAAAGCATGCTAGAAAATTCTTTGATTCAAGATTGAAATTCAGTGCTATTTGCAAGTGAGTGTAGGAGATGTCAGATGAGCAATTTAAATCAGCAAATCAGAAATTGAATTAATCAGTGTATCTGTGCTTACTCAGGAGACTAAAAATCTGTTCGTCTTTGGCCATTGGTAGTGCTCACATTCTACACAGTGTTTCTGAACTTAGGGTTAAAATAGGGATGTTGTAAGAAGCTTCTCAGGAGTAACTAGAGCAAGAAAAAATAAATGACAAATTTGAACTATTCTTTTCTGGTTTTGTTGTGCTTTTTGTTTTCATATTGTATGCAAACATCTGAAACAGACAGGAAAATGTGATGAATATGAAAGTCAGCTTGAATTTTTATACTACTGACAGTTTTACAGACTTCTTGGAGTATACCTGGATTCATTTCAACAGTTGATTACCACTTACAGAGGTTAATACCGATTCTGGAAGAGACAAACTCATTGCCATAATCACAGCCCATATGTTTCTGCTGTCTTTTACAATACGTTTAATTATCTGATCATTTTTGACGAGATTATTGGAGTATCTCAGTGATTTCCTAATGGTCGTCTTGTTTGTGACTATGTTTTCATTGTAGGTTTCCAATTTACAAATCTCATGACCATGTTACTGTCCCTGTCTGTTTCAGGTTTTAAATGCAGTTTGAAAATCAAACCACAGCTGTTCCTGTCTACAAGCAGTGAGAAAAAATTTTCGTCACTTTCCAGTACTACTTGTATTGTTGAGTCACTTCCACCTTCTAAAGAAATTGCAGTAAGTAAAAGATATACTGTGATTCTTCATCTGCTCTCTCTCTACGTTTCTATCTCATACAAAGATGGATTGGGACAGCTCTATAGATTATTTTTCTGAATGGAAAATTATGTAGGCAGTAATAGGCACTGTATGGCAATACTGTGTCCTGAAGATATCGTAGTATGGATAAAAACCATTTGCTGTCTAAGCATTTGCAGACTTTATGCTATTGTTGAGACTTTAGGTATTACTGTGGGAATTAGAAGTTATAATACCAATTTACACTTACAGATAATAAGGGTAGGTAAGTAAAGATGAATTAGTAGATCCCCTTCCCAAGTGATGTTTATATGTGATTATTGTTGGTTTTTTTGTTTATGTTAGTCCTTCGGGCATTCATAGATCATAAAATTTTCAAAGCTATTTGTGTTGTTTACTTTTTGTACTGTCATCTTGGTTTTAGATCATGAAAACCTTTCTTACAGAGTTAGTTGACTGCACGAGTTCCAAATCCATACAGTTTGCTAGATTTTTAACCAGAGTTTGAATTGAAGTCTATCAAACCATCAGACAAGCTGACATTGATTTGAATCAATCTTGTTTTTGGATGATAGCTCTGATGTAGTGCAGTTAGAGGGGTAGCACTCATATAAAATAAAGAAAGGTATATTATTTGTTACATCGAACACTGAGGAACTTGCCCACGAGGTTTAGATACAGACATCAGCTAGAAGCCAATAATAACATTTATAATAGAAACGTTCCTCACAAAAAAAAAAAAGTGCAAGTAATCTCTTGCATTTACATTTACCTGATGTGAAAACAAACTTAAATGAAGACGTTTCTACTTTGTGAAAATTTTATATTTCAAAGACGCATAATTATAGGATAGATATTTGTTTTAGCAAAAATACCCCTTGTATTTGATGGTCAATCACAAACCACATAAGTCCAACATCTGCTGACATTGTGGCAGTCCCTTTTAGCATTAGCAATGCTAATACCTTAAAACATCTAAATGCTGTCAGAAATAGAGACTGATCTGAACCAATTTCAGTTCTGAGTCATCATTTTCTATGTCTAGATTATCAAGCCTATTCTTTTTACATTGATTTTATTGTGTTCAGATATTTTGCCCACAGGGTAATTGATTTCCCTCTCTTTTACCTATTGGTTTTTGTTGGTGTTTTTTTGGGGGGGTTTTTTTGTTTGTTTGTTTTGTTTTGTTTGTTTGTTTGTTTGTTTGTTTTCCCTCCACCTAAAGCCAGAGCTTTTGGCATTACATGTCTATGAAATAATTCTATTCTAGTGTTAGGTATAGCAGATCACATGAAAATATACTTTAGATGGATTGCTACCCTTGTTACCCTCTACCCCCAAGTTCTGTTCTCCAAGGAGTAAGTACAACTTGGACAATGAAGTTAACTTTGTAATCATGAGTCCTGACTTTCACATTGATCTGCCTTGAGGATGGGTTGCCCTATACTGTTCAAAGTGCTGGATGTACTGATAGTATTTGATAACCCACAAACAAGTCATCATTTTCATATGCTTGTGGGAGTCTTAAGGTATCTCCTCTTAGGCTGGAACAATTTCTTTCAATTTTTAGTTTTCTTCAGATTGTAACACTGACATTATTTTATGTGCTACTGTCAGATTTTTATTGCATTCACATTATTCTCATTCCCTGTTACATTATTCTTATTCCCAGTAGGTACCAACAGTATTTCTCTTTGCCTAAGATAAAATTCTGTTGTTATATCTCCCTGTCTGGTGCCTGCCCTTTAAAGTGGTGGATTGTTTGTGTGAAATGACTCATACAGCTGTGCTAATGGAAACATTAACTGTTGTCTATCTGAATGAAGTAAGGCAAAGAACAAGGATCTTTTCCTTTAAAAAACAACAGCAAAAACCAGCTGCAGGTACTTGTCTTTGTTAATGTAACTTTAGTGATGAACCAGCTACTGGCTTTTGCAGAAAACAGGTTACAGAAGCATAACAGCCAATCATTCTATCAAATGAAGTGCAGAGGAGGTAGTGAAGCCTTAAATATTCACTCAATACTGCCTTTGTGCAGGATGGACTTCTCTGACAAGAGAGTGTTGACACCTCTCTCTGTTACTGAGCCTTTGACAACAAAACTATCTTATTCTAATTTGCCAGTACACTAATAATTGCAATTAAATATCTGACATATGTCCTGAGTTGCTTTTCTTAGAAACGAAATTGCTTAATTAACATGCTGAGCTATTGCTTTGTAACTACAATTGTTACACTCCTTCAAATTTTGTCATACAAGTTTGGTAGTGTTTTTCTAGGGAAGCCATCACTGCTGTAAACAAGGACAGTTGAAAAAGGTACAACAACAGTTACAATTTGAAAACCATCTCAGTAGCCATCTCTAGATATTAATCTCTGTAGAGACTGGTAACCAAAGGATACCAGAAGTCCTTTCCTCTTAGCTGTCATTTGTGAAAGAGGCTTTGCCACTTTTGCCCTTAGTTTTGTTGGCTGATGATGTTGCCTTACCATTACTGGTACTAAGGGTTGTTAGGTGTTCATCTTCTAAATGAATGGTAGTTGCTTTTTAAGTGTCACTTGCCTTTGTACCCTGTCCTTTTTATCCTGAGTGTTTCCATCAGGAACGAGAGCTCCTGCTAGCTACAAGCTACAAGCTACAGGTGCCATGCTTATTGCCATGGTTATTGCTCAGAAAATCCGTGAAGGTAAGGAGACTGAGTACGGTGTAACGTGTGTGCATGGTGCAGGACACTGCACCTCTACTGTCCAATTACCCATGGCTTTTTCCTTGGTGTAGCTATGTCATTAAGGCTTACTTCCATAGTCTGCATAGTTACGTGTTTTTTATGACAAAATGCTAGTTAAAAGAGGCAACATCAGACATACCCTCTGAAGTGAAAGGTATTGTTTAAGATCTATTAGAAAGAGCATTGTGTGAGTAGGCCAGGAATAAAAGGGAGAATGCTACATACAAGATCTGGAGAAGAAGCCAAGTAATTGAGTTTGGGAAGAGGCTCCTGAACACTAATGTATAAGAATGAAGTGAAATAAGAATGAAAGAAGATTAGTAAGCAGAGAAAAAAAGAACTTGGGTTGGGAAAAGACACTTAAGATGGTAGGCACTTGAGCTGAAAGAAGATTTATGATGACTACAAGCGACTTGTTGCACTGGTGAAACAAGTTGGGTAGCCACACAAACATGATTCAGCGGGGTGCTTTGCCAGTTCACTTAGTGGTTATTGGATGTCTGTTGTTCAGTCAGTCCCTGGGCTCGAGAAATGGGACTCCCTGCCAAACAAAGGCTCTGAACTCTCACTGAGGTCTTCAGTTTCAGGATTGGACTTCTGATGCTTTCTCTATCCGGGAGGAGTTGGTGATGATGCTGCAGATAGCTTGTTCCACACAACAAAGAGAGAAAGCCAAATCTGAAGTACATGTAAACTGAGAAGACTTATTATGCTCGTTTATCACAACAAGCAAAAGCCATGAGTGCCCTATCCAACATAAACACTAACACTTGCAAGGCACTTATAAAACAGAATGTACACTTTTAGAAATCTAAGGATGTAAAAATGTACAGGTAGAGATTGAAGCCAACACCCGCAAGAATGTGAATTATTCAATATTTGAACTGCATTCTGAGTGTACATAACTGTTCTAAAGAATTTTTAGGTGGCACTAGAATCACTAGCATATAATGTTCAGTTTGCTGTGATCACAGTATATCCCCCTGACATTTCTTTCTTCCAACTGTGACTTGTGTTAGTCTTTGTCCCTAGCTAATTACTATGGAAGTCAGCAAGAGTCATTCCATTGAACATAATGAGAATCAGTCAGGCTGCAAAATATACTAGATGGCTCATCATGATGTGCTTGCTGCAGTGCTTTCTCAGACTGTTTTCTTATCTGCTGAGGTTATAATAGATCAAGTTTCCTTCTGATCTGCTCAATTTAGCCAGTCCACAGTTTACTGCTTGATACTTGTTTCTTAGATTCATGAAATAATAATTAAAAAAATAACACCTTGTTTTCTCTGAAACCATAACAGAGACAATCCTCGTTTGAATAACAGTGGTGAACTCTTTAAGTCACTGTTTATAGCAACAGTTAATCTTGTAGCTCTCTGATAAAAGTGTCCTGAGTTTATGTCTCATTGTTCTGACAATAGCAAATCCTAACTTATCTTTTCTGTAAAATGGTATGCATTGGTTAATACAGGCAGGAAAATCTTCATCTTTTAACACATTATTTAGAAAATTGTTGCAAGAATACTTAGGACATCTGAAAAAAGCTCTGTTGAAAATTGGATTGTAGAGATGCCCATCTGGAGGCGCAGTTGGAACCCTTTAATTATCCTAAGTGATTTGTTTCACCTGTTTACAGTGTGTTTATAAAATCAAATGGAGAAAAAAGTAATCAATTCAGGGCCAAATTATAATGGGAAATTGGGGTTGAACAAAGGAAGAGGCTGAGAGAAAATCATAATGCTTGCATATAAGTGTCTTGTCAGCTGCAGAAAGCCGAGAGCACTTCCTTCATGAATACGCAGATGCTGTTACTCCCTGAAAATAGAAGCTGGTTTTGAAACTTTGTCTCCTAGTATGGATGGGATCAGGTGGTAATTAAGAGATTTTGTTAGGGAAATTGTGATGATTCCCTGCCCCTTCCTTAAAACATGGATGTGAAAAATCCAATTAAATGTCTCTCTAAGGTGGGCACAGTAGATTAAAGGAGGAGGAATGAACTGTGAGGTTGTAGAGACATTTTTTGATTAATGAAAAACAAATGTTCAATTTTTACATTGTCTTCTGCCTACTTAGTGCAAGGCTCAGTCCTTTCTTGTGCAACAAATCTGTGTTCATTCATTTAAGCTGATTTTCTCTGAAGGAAACGGCTACAGGAGTCTTTCAGGACTGTCTGACTGTTGAACGAGACTGATTTTTTGTTGTCAAAAGGATCTGCAGTGGGTGATGTTGCTGTTACGCAGTTTTCACCTT